TTTCAATTAATTGACAACATTCAAAATTTCAACACAGTTTATAGGCATAAAGAAAAACGATTTATCACATGGATTTGAAAGGAATTGTAAATAATCTGAACTATTGGAATTTATTTTTGATACCTGAATAGGGCCTACATTTACGAAATAGCCTAATTATTAAACAATCTGCTATATCTTTAGAGTCTGAAATTTTCTGACCATCATTGTTAATATTAATTGTTGATCTTTTGGTATTTTGCTTTCGAAGAGTTTCTTTCATGACTTTCCAGGTAGATGCCCTATTGCCGTTAGCATTTTCAAATTATTTTACATAGGCCTAGTACATTTTACAAATTATTGTTGTTAATTTATTCCTATAACATTTATATTCGTATTTATTCTCGTTACTTGGATGTCGGAGACTACGTTTGCACAATATATTTCGTTTCTTAATCGAACGAAAAAATCCCTTCGTTTTCCATGGATGTTGTGGTTTTCTTTTATTTATATTTTGTTTAGTCTTTGGAATACATCTATCAAAGTGGGCTTAAAATATTTTCCAAAATAGTCCATATGCAATATCACTTTCACTACAAGATAGTTAAATCATTCCATGTTTCCATCATCAAATCATTATTTAAAGATAATATATTTTCCGTTTTAAATTCATGAGACATTGATATTTCATTTTGTTTTTTACGAGACATGAGATCAATATTACAAATAAGAAATATAGGAATGTGATCAGATATTTCACTGCAAACTAGACCAGCATTCATATATTCAGTAACAACATTCGTAAAAATATTGTCTATTAAAGTTGATGTGCTCTGCGTAATTCTTGTAGGTTTATCAATGGCTCCAATGAAAGAATTTGCTTGTAAAATATTCACACAAATATTATAATAATTATTATCCGAGTTCAACAGGTCTATATTAAAATCACCCATCAAGTATACATCTTACTAGTCTTATTTTATACGACAACAAATTAGATATATACATTGCAACTCCACTACCTCTTCCAGATTGTCTATCAGAGCGTATAAGTGAATAATCATTGATATTATATATAAGTGGTAAGTTGTCACTCAAGCAAGTTTCAGTAACACATATTACTGAAAAGTGTAATGTAAGAGAATAAGGGAATAAATAATATATCATTTTTAAAACAATCTTTACATTAAGAAAATACCACTAAGCCAAAGCTGCATTTTTCTTCTTCTTCTTCCTGCATTACTCTATATTTATTATTATTCAAAGGTCCGTTACTTCACGTAAATTGCAACTAATCAATTCAATCGCATTTTAAACTATCTCACAGGGTATGATCGATGTAGGCCGATTCAAAGAATAAACGTTTCGTTTTCATTGTAGCCTTTTAATGATAAACCATTCATTGTTTGATCTGCATTATATTTCTGCATTACTATATAAGGAAATAAATAGTACATCGTTTTTTTTTTGGAGCTTGGAGCTTTAATGAGCACAATTTCGTTTTTGCTTAGAGGGGGGGGGGGGGGGGGGGAGTAGTGACCACTGTTTTGTTTTCTTTATTTTTGGCCAGGGATGGGGCCCATGCCCCCTGGCCCCTATAAAAACAATGCTATGCACCTATTGAGGGGGGGGGGGTAAGAACACTTTTTTTTGCCTCCTTGAGCACAAATTATTAATATGTATATATTTTTTTTACATTAAAACAATATGAGGAGCGGTTTACCCCCCCCCCCCCCCCCCCCCGCGTACGCGCCTGCATGAATCAACGGATGGAATTAGGTTCTTCCAAATAAACGTGCTTGCCGCTCAAGATCGCGATCGCGAATGCATATAGCTCGGCAGTATTCACCCAACATTAAAGTGAGGTAAAGTGCGATTTTGCACGATATGCATTTTCACTCTGTTTGCAGAAGATAATATCGTCATGGCATTTTTTTTTCAAAGCTTATCTGCCATAGTTTACAGGAGGGATTAGAGCGCCCTGCAAGGTCACTGGACAGGTGGCTATCTCATCAACTCAGCTCTCAGTTAACATAAGAAAAAGAGGATCATGGGGGACCAATGGTCACCGATTAGGCATTGTTTGTTATATAGAGGGCGCAAGTAGCTACAAGTAGTGCAGTGGGCCTTTAAACACTTTTCCAGTAATTTTTGATTAAAAAAAATTTAAAAAAAAACTAAAATCATCGATATTATTCATTTTTATTCAATCATTTCCCCCAAATAATATAAAATTGAAGTTCATTAATATAAGTTTGTGTTGTAAGGTTTCATGATAATACATAACTGAGTAAACCCGTTTTAGGAGTCAGCTGAAAGGGCGCCATCCGTGTATCAGTTACTTGTAGTTTCGAGGAAGGATATGATTATTTAGATTCAATAATGTAAATTCATGTCAGTTTCTATTTCTACCGGTATAGTGGGGCAGGCAGACCGTCTGTTGGGATTTTGTTTCCTTTTCGTGCAAAATCATCATTTCTTGATATCCCTTCCATCCTCCCCAATATACTTGCTCAAGTTGCTCATATCATTTACCGTTTTACAAAGGTTTATAACCCCATCATCTGATTCCAGAATATACAACGTGATCTCAATGACTTTTGAGCAGGGGCGGTTCTACCGTTATAGAGAGGGTGGGTTTTCAAACCGACCCCTAATTTCTCACCTCGTCAATTTTCTCGATTATAAATGACAAATAATCCAGGCACGTGTAGAAAATCAATGTAAGAACTCCAGAGTTGGCACCAACCCCACCCCTAAGGAAAATAAAACCTTTGAGAAACCAACTTAGAGCAATGCCGAAGACTGTTGTTTACAGAAATCATTTTCGGAACACGTGATATGTCTGCATCAGGTTCGTAAATTGAAAAGGTGACGTAAACGAGCCTGTTATGAATACCTTGGGCATACTGATTTTTTTCTCGAAAGACTTGGCGATTGTACAAAGATATGAGTACTATCTCCATGCCTTCCATGGGGGAGTAGGCATATATTCTAATCATATCGGCACTTCATTGCCACCGACTAATTCTATTGAATTTGATGGAATTATATAAATAGACTTTGGACGAAAGGAGGCTTTGAATAAATTCACTGAGACTCCGATATATCCTGAAACAGGCGATACGACAGGAGTGCTGCCTTTGGTAACTCAGATAGCTACCCCCCCCCCCCACCCTCGCCCCGCCCCTTCGCGGTCCGTAAGAATCTGCCCCACCTTCAGAGTTTGAACAACAGAACGGAAGCTCAAGCCGTGCTCGTGGCGACACCTTTTTTCAATGTATGAGTTTATGCGACCATATAACTATGTTACAAATCAAATTATGTGTGACGATGAATATACATGGAAAAAAAATGAACATCAAACTCAAACACGTCCCTGCTAAATACGTTTATGTGGGTCATGAAAGCAACTGAGAGCAAAACATCTGGTTATTGGTTTTTTTAAAATTTATTTATAAGTTCAAATTCATTTATCCATTTATTTATTTATTTATTTCATTAATTCATTCATTTATTGGCTTGCCAGTTGATTTTTCCAAGCAATTTCACGTTTCGACCCTGGCTTGAAGAAAAATATAACCAATCTTCCAATTAGAAACCAGGAGTATTATAATAATGTATATAGATCGAGTGATAGAAAAACAACATTGACCTTTAATGTCTGTATATTTCGCCAATTCCAAATTATGCATAGTACCTTGCTTTGTATAGGGCCAACACACAGATTCCGGAATTGAACTAATCGTAACCTAATATTGCTAAACAAAATTTAAAAATGAAGAAAGCGAATTGATACTTTGTGAAAGAGACAACATTTAGTGCTCTGTCATAAAAGAGATGGCTTCAATGGTATACTGTAGTTTCGATCTCTAAATCAATTCTTGTTACAACTCAGTTTTAGATTTTAACACTCGGAGTGTGTCTTTTGCTTTGTCATCTCTTTCATTCAATGAAACCAAAAGGTCTCGTAATAATAATAATAAAATCCTTTAAATTGATAGTACATTTCAGAAGAAAAAAAAAATAGGATAATATTATTATCTCCATTCTAAACAGTATAGGTTATAATCATGACTTATAGGTCAACTGTCTATCCATAAAGTTTGATGATAATGATGGGGATTGATGATTGCTTTACCCGAATACTGTGTATGCTTGTTAGTAAGCAACCAGGGGACCGACGGCTTAAAGTCCTCCCTGAGGAACTTGGTATTATGAAGATTAATCCCTTACCAAATGGCACACCGATTTGGATTCGAACCCGGGACCTCCCGGTTGCGAGACAACTGCTCTACCACTGAGCCATCGCGCCTCCTCACATTTCTTGTGTAATTAATCCGGTATTGGATGAATCCCAGAGTTCTTAAGTCTAAAACGAGTCAAACTTCTTTAAAAACGTAACTTAGGTTTAAAATGAAACATGTATTCTAATGTTGAGCACAGTAACCGTAAACTAGAAAAAGAAATATAATGGATCGTGATAACATTTAATATTGAGTGCAAGCGGAAAAATTAATTGAAATAGATGGTTTATACGTGATAAATATGAATTAATAAATCGAAGACTGGATTACTCTTATACTCTTGATTATAAATTCATTTACTCGTGTTATTTAGACGATTAAAACATACACGAGACTAGATTTATTCAGCATTACATTCTTGTCATCCCGATCATAATTACAACCATTTCGACAACTGGCGATTCCTATCTTATAGTGGTATGAGCTTTCAAACATTCAAATTTCATTCGGCGTCTCATGATAATAACGCATAAGATGAAACAGTTTTCTAATTATCGTGTATGGTGTATTATTACTTCTCTTGTGATACAAATTAAATGTAAAGACTACGTTTCCTATTGGCGTTTTTCCTTCTTTTTAACAGACAATAAACACATTTATATGTATATTTTCGGCGGCTTTCCGCTCCATATTTGAACAAACCTTTATCAAAATATCATGCCCTTCGCCGAGTTTCCACGGCGAACATTTTATACTCTTTATGGAGAAAAAAAATCATGCTTCTCCGGAGTTGCATCTAATCACTGTATTCACTCCAATCGACCAACGTCTGAACATGTCACGGTAATGAGCTGCAATTCGTCTATTCATAAACGAGTAGATGAGAGGGTCAAGTAGGCAGTTGAAGAAGCCTAGCCACACCGTGGCCACGCCCATCCAATGGGGAATGTTGATGGATAGGAGACAAGTGTTAACGATATAGTACGGTGACCAACAGACCACCGTGGTTAGCACCAGTAGGGTTCCTGTTAAGAAAGAGACAAACAGACACTGTTGGAAAAAAAAGTGTTGGGTTGAAATTATATGAAACACATCAACAAGGAACAGAATCTAGATGGTAACATTATTTCAGTATTACAAAACACTTAATTTGATGGGAGATTCTGGAAAATATATTAACAGAAAATTAAAGAGAAGACAATGCAGAGGTGTAAATTTATGGGTGGGGTGTAGGCTGAGCTGATGATGACTATTTATTTTGTTCATCACGACATAAAATAACTTTGAGCGTAGGCTAAAGTTTTATGAAACGATGAGCCGTTCCCAAAACGACGAGGTGCAGGGGCTAGTAGAAAGACTTTGCACCCTCGTAACGCCAATATGTACATGTACATTTTTTGCGAGGGGAGCAATGAGAATTGATACATTCTGTCATGTTAAAACTTGGCATTTCATTTCGAACACTTGTGGTAAAACAAGCGCAAGATTAAACATTTCTACAAACTTGAAGAGATTTCAACACAGGAAGTACTTACCAGTCAGGACAATTCTTTTTTCAAGGTTGAGTTTTTTCTGCATGGACCTACGATCTTTTTTCTTGATTCCTGTTATCACAATCCCCTGTTGAATAGTCTTATTTTCCTCGATTTCTCCTTTAGCATGTTCAGCGTCAGGTTCCTCGGTGTTTGAAGACTGGGAGTAGTCCATAGACTCTGGAGTAAGACTCGAGCAGGTAGGTCCTTCAATCGACTGGCCCATGTCATCCATTGGCATGTCATTGTCAGCATGGGTCACACGGTCTTGGTCGTCGTCGTCCTTGTCTGTAACGGAACATACGTTGCTCTCGATACTAGGCTTCTCGTCGGCGTAGGACCTAAGCAACCGTTGTTGACGCCACACTTTCACAAACACACCAACAGAGCATAAAACCATCGTAGGTACTAAGACTACAAAGACGATGACGTTGAGAATAACGTAATAGAAACAGTCTTCCCGAAACTCTGGCGAGCAGTTGTGGGAAATAGTCTTATACTTGATCGAAGAGACGCCTCTGAAAAGGGAGGGTAAGGAGGATCCAATGGCGGCGACCCAACAGAAGACGATAAAGACAATGGTTCTTGATTTGGAAGGAGGAAAGCGGGTCGATCAGACTACGGCCAAGTAGCGATCCACGGCGATTGCCACAACTGTAGCAAGGTTCCCGGAGACAAAAAGAACGTTACCTTGAATCTGCGCACAATGATAAATGAGATTGCATTAATTTTTCATATCCAGGAGAATATCAGCTCTTCGACAAAACATCGGGATTATTATTTATGTGATGAGTAATCACCAAGTATAATGTATGTGAGTATCACACATGGCAACTATCCCGGGTAATTTGACACGCAACTCTGTATTTAAAAAAAAAACAACACATTTTTATCATAGAGATATGGGAATTTAGAAATCAAAGTATGCTGTAAATGATATAAAAACTATAAATCAACTTGCTGCCCAAATATTGATAATTTATAAGTGATTGCCGATTGATAGCTGCATCATTCAACCCCCGAGTATGTATGCAGCAAGTATTACAGGATTGCTAAGTTAGGGTTCATATTCAATGGAGTTTTAAACGATCGAGTTTTACTATTTTGTTTTTGAGGAGGAGAGGAGTCATAATAGATTTGTGATTTGGTATGTGAAATACGAATTATGAGACTCAATAGATTTACCAAAACACTTACATGTTCTTTTCATGAGAAGTATAAAGTTTCTTTAATATCCCAAATCGAAATATATTAAAATCGTATTTGAGAATGGTGGCGAAGAATTCAAAATAGAAAAAGACTTACAAGACACACAGCTTTGTTGTGAAGGAGAAAATAGCCTTGGTCGAACACGAATACTATTGTAAAGCCAAGGTCGTTTATGATGAGATTCAGGATCAGCCAGTTATGGAGGTTCCTTCTCAGAACCTTGTCTCGAAGAATCGTCGCCATCGCAATCAGATTGGCGACCAACGCTCCGTGGAAGATAACGACAATGGTGAAACCTTCAATGACGGCCACCACTGATGTCGACTCGTGGTAGATCGTGACACCATCAGGTCGATCGTACGGGGTTGGGGAGGTATCCTGGCTCGACATCGTATCACGAGGATTTGTTTTGAGAGACTGGTCTTTACAATGACGGATAGCAATGACCGCTTATAATTCAAATTATAAGAGGTGAGGATCAGTGAATCTGGACAGCTTGAAAACAGTCCTAGATTTATAAAAAAAAAAGTCCGTTACTTGAAATTGAAACCAATCAATTCAATCGCATTTCTAACTTTCTCCCTTGACGTATTATGATGTAGGCGGAGTCAAAGAATAAACGTTTCGTTTTCCTTTTTAGCATTTTAATGATAAAGCATTTATTGTTTGATCGTTGTTAAAGGACTACCTCAAGGAAATTATATAGTTAGAATTTGTCATGACCACCTAGCCAAAGCTGTATTTTTTTACTTTCTATTTACCCTTCCACGGGGTCCCTTTAATAAGTTTCAACATAATCATTTTCACAAAAAGATCGATACAATTAATGCACTATTCCATGACTTGTCATATAAATATTCAAACAATAAAATATTACAATGTAGTCTCGGCCGCACAGCGACATTTAGGATTATAAACTTGACAAAATAAAATGTGTACACCAATTCATTAATATAAAGTCATAACAAAATTTGGTAAAATATAACTATTTTTTCACATAATTATTTTTTTCAAGATTTGTTTTTGCTATAATATCTTTCCTTATCATATTAAGTTTAACAGCACAAAGTCCAAACAGTGGTATCTGATTATTGGCTGAATAGATTTCTTTTCTTACAATAATTTAAATGCAATTACAAGCGTTGCTATGACCTCCTTTCAAGCCAAACAATTCGTTTTGTGAGTTTGGCCTTTATATTTGTCTTACTGAAAAACCATTGCTCAAGTTTTGACCATTTTATGTTTGCATATGGGCAGTAACAACACATATGCATAATTGTCTCTTCACTGCTGTTACAAAATGTACAATATTTATCATCAACCATTTGGAATTTCAGCAATGAATCATTCATGTAAAGTATTCTGTTTAAACTCTTAAACTGGAACCACCTCATATTTATATCAACAGTTGACTGATCGAGAATCAGACAATATGAACACCTCAACACCATACTTTATCTTCTAGATCTAAACCCTGTTTCTATTTGGTGAGGCTGTTACATTCTTTCACATTATGTATGAGAACGAGTGCTAAATATGAGAACATCCTTTTTTCGTTTTCAATATAAAAACTTATGATTCAGGTATAATACAAGTAGGTTCCATTAACTTCGATGTAACACTATTTTTACAACAGGCCCGAATAGCATTGCATAACCAATAATATTGAAGGAAATTTATTTGTATATCAAATTTATGTTGAAATTCAAAAGACGAGAGAAACGTACCATCCGTTTTCAAAATGTCATTGATAAAGAGTACTCCTTTTATACACCAAAATTTAGGAATTGTATCGTCATTTACTTTTATCCTGGGATTATTCCAAAGAGGTTGACATGCCACAATCTTTTTTACAGGGATTTTAACCTGAAAAGGCAAAAAGCACCTCCTTCCAAAATGGATTAGGCACTAACAAAAACAGGTACGGAGACAAAGGATATCTCTGACGACCAGGGGCGGCGATTTCTTTTCATGACTGGGGGGGGGGGGAGAAATGCGAGAGACGAGGGAGCAGTAGCGTAATGCGCAAAAGCGTTTTTTTTTGGAAGGGGGAGGGGGGCAGAAAATAACCAAAGCTAAAAGTATTTACGATCATGTAGAGCAAAGCGAGCGAAGCAAGTGGAGCGTGGATTGCCCTAGGGTCCAGGGGCGGAGCCCCCGGAATCACAGGGTTTTAAGGGATTTAATTGCGGTCAGATGAGCAACCAGGGGCCGCCTAAGGACCCTTGGTGGGGTCCAGGGGGCAGAGTCCCCGGAAACTCAGGCATTTTAACTAGTTTCAACTGTGAACCAACTTCGAGGGGAAGGACAGGCGTTGAGCGACCTAACCCATTCCCTACTGGAACCGAGTAGTCCCTGTATTAAGCCCATGGGAAATAAGGAAAACAGTATTCAACGGGTTAAGCTACGGTCACAAAGGTTTGTACGAACCTCCCTGTTCTTACGAATTCCAGAGTTCGTAGAGATTCGTAGATGGGGCATAGTTTTTTACGTCCTTCTTATTGAGTTCATATACGAACGTAATTGTTCGTGATTTTTTCCTCGTAAGAATGCCTTTAGTTCTTCTTACGTCATACTTACGGTCATCTTACGGGTTCTTGTTCTCGCAAGATAGTCGTACGTGTAACTGACGCCGTGGAGGGGGGGGGGGAGTTTTTTTTTTTGCTCTGTGGTAGCATCAAAGTCATACTTCTCCTTTTTTTAGTTTCCCCGTTACCTCCTCTTCATCGCTATTAAACTGGCGTGTCGATGGTTTTCCCATGTGCGGACCCAGGGGGGGGGGGCGAGCTCGCCTCTCCCCCCCCCCCCCCCCCCGCAAAAAGAGAGAGAGAGAGAGAGAGAGAGAGAAGGAAAAGAAGGGAAAGGGAAAGGAAAAGAGGAGATAAAGGGAAGGAAATAAGAGGAAGAAAAAAAGAAAAAAAGGGGGTTTAAGTTGCAATTTTCCCGCCAACAAGTTGTAGATCGGGGGGAGGCCTCGCCTCCCCCCTCCCCTGCCCCCGCCAAAAAAGAGAAGGAAGGGGAAAGGAAAGAGCAGAGCTAAAAGGGAACAAAAAGAGAAAGTAAAGAAAACTGGGGTGAAAAGAAGGGGAGATCAGAAGCGATTAATCCAACCAACAACGTGTGGATCGGGGGGGGGGTAAGAAAGGCCTTTGCCTCCTCCCCCCAGCACACCTCAAGGAGAGAGAAGGAAGGGAAGGGAAAGGGAAAGAACAAAAAAGAGAAAGAAGAAAGGTAGGGGAGATCCATTGCAATTTTTCCGCCAACAAGGTGTAGATCTGGGGAGGGGGAAATAAAATTCGATACCGGTGATTTACAAATGTTGCTGAAATGACGTAATTTTCCGAGATTTTTTCTCACTTTTCAGTAAATTATACTTTTTGATACGTTTGTTGGAAAATGACAAATTTCTAAATTTGCAGTTAGGCAAGAAATATGCTTATTTAAAGGCCTACATGTCAGGACCCGCGGAACGGCGGGGCTCAGGGGCCTCGAGCCCCCCCCCCCCCACACACTTTTTTTGAAAAACTATATTAAAGGGAAATCGAGAAAAGAGAGAGGAAGAAAGAAAGAATAGTGACCTGTCAGTGTCACAAAATAATAAGGTAACAACATATGCTCTTCTGACCGTAATTAAATGCCAATACCCCATGTGCGTGGGCTTGGCCCCTTGACCCCGCTGGGGCTTTGCCCCTAGACCCATACGCCAATTAATGCTACGCTCTACCTGATCGTAAATACTTTAGCCTCTACCACCCACTTTGAAAAACGTGTAAGAGTAGGGTGGTGCGGATTTTTTTTTCTTCTGCCCCCCCCCCCAAAAAAAAAAAAACAGTTTTGCTCATTACGCCACTGCTGGTCACCGTTACGTACCAATATTTTGCTCGTATAATTTCAAATTTGGGCCCACCCCCCCCCCCCCCCCTAAGAAATCCTGGATCCGCGCCCGGGTTCTCCCTCCTCCTCCTCGTCGTCGTCATCTTCCACCGCCTCCTCCCGATCTTCCGATGGCCATCATTTCTTGATATGTTGTTGCTGCTCTCCTCCACTTTCTCCTTCCTCTTCATTTCTTTCCTTACGTTTGTTTCCCTTCCCTCTCTTCCCTCAAACAGATTTCCCTTTTGGTCCCATATTTCTTCGACAGGAGATGCACCCTCGACGAACACTATGAACAGAGTGAGGATTTGAACTTCGCGCGCTTGGCTTGATAACCGCTAAAACTCAAAAATTATATAAATTGTGTACGTACACCTTACGAGCAACTTACGAACGCCTTACGAACGCCAGTTGTTCGTACGAAGACCATACGAATCTTCGCTCGTAAGGCGTTCTTACGAATGCCGTATGGGCCCTCTATGACCAACTTGAGGCATTCTTACGGTCATCGTAATAATTTGAAGCTTCTAGAATTGTCCCTCGACCCTACGAAACGTACGAAGATTTTGCGTGGTTCTGACGATGTAATTACGGCGTTCGTACGGCCGCCTTACGAAGCGAGGGTTTCTTACGATGTTAAAAAAAATCTTGGACAAGACCATCGACCAATCTGCGATCTTACGAAAGGTCTACGAAAGGTCTACGAACGCTCGTTTCGTACGGCCTTCTTAAGAAGATCTTACGAAATGGCCTGAAAATCGTTCGTACGGCGTTCGTAGCAGCCCGTAAGGGTATTTGTGACCGAGGCTTATGAGCACCTAACGAACGCCTTATACGAACGCCAGGAGTCGTTCGTACGAAGGTCATACGAATCTCCGTTCGTAAGGCATTCTAACGAACGCTGTAAGAGCCCTCTATGAACAACTAAAGGCGTTCTTACGATCATCGTTATAATTCTAGGATTCTAGAATTGTCTCTCGACCCTACGAAATGTACGAAAATCTTGCGTAGTTCTTACGATGTTATTGCGACGTTCGTACGGCCGCCTTACGAAGGGAGGGTTTCTAAATCCCCTTCGAGTTCACACAAGAAACTTCTGAACTGTGTTGTTTACTAATATATTCCATAAAATCAAACATGAAGCAGCGGATGGAATTCGGTTCTTCCAAAACGCGCCTGCTGCTCAAGATTGCTAACGCGAATGCAACTAGCTCGGCAATATTCCCCCAACATTAACTTTAGACGAAGTGGGATTTTGCACATATACATTTTTGTTAACTCTGTTTGCAGAAGATAATATATCGTGTTGTTAATATTTTTTTAGAACACTCTTCCTGTTATTTTTAATACTTCTGGTGAAAAGTATTTAAAAAAAAAAAAACACTAAAATCTTCGATAAGTATTCACTTTTATTCAAACATTTACCCCCCAAATAATGTAAAATTGAAGTTCATAAATATAAGTTTGTGTTGTAAGGTTTCAATGATAATGCATAACTGAGTAAACCGGTGTTTGGAGTTAACTGAAGGGGCGCCATCTGTGCATCAGCTACTTGTAGCTTCGAGGTAGGAGATAATTATTTAGATCTCAATAATGTTAATTCATGTCAGTTGCTATTCTACTGGTAATAGTGGGGCAAGCAGACCGTCTGTTGTGATTTTTTTTTCCTTTTCGTGCAAAATCATCATTTCTTGATGACCCTTCCATCCTCCCCAATATACTTGCTCATATCATTTACCATTTTACCTAGGTTTATAAACCCACCTAGCATCCATCCATGAATGAACCTGCATTCAATCAGCAGATGTATTACATTTATTGTATTATTACCAACGCTCCTTCTCTCCCCTTTCCTTTTCTTCTCTGCAAGTCGCTCTCTTTTTTATTTTTATTGTTGTATCTAAGTTGAGGGTTCGGGCACGTCAAGCTACTTTGCTTATTTATGTAGCCCTCCTGCATCTAATGTATGTTAATTATGCATTCAATATATTTGTTTAATTTCGTTTATCATCTGTGTAAAAATCATATACACTTAAAATATTGTATCAAACCATATCATGTTCATGAAAATGTATGATGAAAGAAAAAAAAAAGATGCAGAAACCAATAAATCAAATCAAATCAAATCAAATCATCCGATTCCAGAGTATACAAGTTGATCACTAGTACTTTTGAGCAGGGGCGGTTCTAGAGAGGGTGGGGTTTTAAACCGACCCCTAAGTTTTCACCCCGTCAATTTTGTCGATTACAAATGACAAATGATCGAGGCACATGTAAAACAATCAATGTTAGAACCTGATACCACCGTCCCCGCTCCCAAGAAAAAGGATAAATTCTTTAAAAACCACTCCTGCTTTTGAGAAGCCAACTTAAGACAATGCTAAAGACTGTTGCTTACAGAAATCATTTTCGGAATACGTAATATGTCTCTGTCATGTTTGCAAATTCACCAGGTGACGTATAACGTACAAGCCTGTTGAAAATACCTTGAGCTTACTATTTTTTCTAAAGACTTAGTGACAGCAGATAAATATGAGTACCATATCCATGCATTCCATGGGGAGTAGGCCTATACTCCAATCATTTCGCCACTTCATTGATACGCCATTGCCAATGACTGATGTGTCATCTATTTAATTTGACGGAATCGTATAAATAGACTTGGAATGAAAGGAGACTTTGAATGAATTCACTGAGACTCCGATGAATCTTGAAACAGGCGATACGACAGGAGGGCTCTGCATTTGGTAACTCAAATAGTTAAACCCCCCCCCCACCCCCGCCCCTTCGCGGTCTTTAAGGATTCTGCCCCACCTTCAGAGTTTGAACAAGAGAACGTAAGCTCAAGTTGTGCTTATGGCGACACCCTTTCTTCAATGTATGAGTTTATGCGACCATATACTTTTGTTAAAATTAAATTATGTGTGACGATCAGGCGCGTACGCAGGGGGGTGTTTGGGGGGTTAACCCCCCCCCCCCCCCTTTGGTATTTTTATGTGTATAAACCCCCCTAAAAAAAAAAAAAAAAAAAAAAAAAAAAACCCTTTGGTATTTTTTTTTTTTTTTTTTTTTAATAATTAAAAAAAAAAATCATTCCCATGGCTGACCTAAAAAAGGTGACCTTACCCCCCCCCCCCCAACGGAGCAAAATGTCAAATTTTCAAATTTCGAGACAAAAAAAAAAGAAAAAAGGTGTCCTCTTACCCCCCCCCCCCCCCCCCCCCCCCCCCCGCTTATTCAGCGGCTGGCTGAGTCGATTTAAAAATGTTAAACCCCCCCCCCCCCCTTGAAAAAATCCTGCGTACGCGCCTGGTGACGATGTATATACATCGAAAATAAATGAACATCAAACTCAAACACGTCCCTGCTAGATACATTTATATGGGTCATGAAAGCAACTGAGAGCAAGAACATCTGATTATTGGGTTTTGTTTCATTTATTTATAAGTTCAAATTCATTTATCCATTCATTTATTTATTTATTTTTTTCATTTATTCTTTTATTGGCTTGTGATTTGATTTTTCCAAGCATTTTCACGTTTCGACCCTGGCTTGAATAAAAATATAAACAAATCTTCCAATTAGAAACCAGGAGTATTATAATAATGTATATAGATCGAGTGATAGAAAAACAACATTGACCTTTAATGTCTGTATATTTCGCCAATTCCAAATTATGCATAGTACCTTGCTTTGTATGGGGCCAACACACAGATTCCGGAATTGAACTAATCGTAACCTAATATTGCTAAACAAAATTTAAAAATGAAGAAAGCGAATTGATACTTTGTGAAAGAGACAACATTAAGTGCTCTGTCATACAAGAGATGGCTTCAATGGTATACTGTAGTTTCGATCTCCAAATCAATTCTTGTTACAACTCAGTTTTAGATTTTAACACTCGGAGTGTGTCTTTTGCTTTGTCATCTTTTTCATTCAATGAAACCAAAAGGTCTCGTAATAATAATAATCACTTCCTTTAAATTGATAGTACATTTCAGAAAAAAAAAATAGGATAATATCATTATCTCCATTCTAAACAGTATACGTTATAATCATGACTTATAGGTCAACTGTCTATCCATAAAGTTTGATGATAATGATGGTGATTGATGATTGCTTTACCCGAATAATGTGTATGCTTGTTAGTAAGCAACCAGGGGACCGACGGCTTTAAGTCCTCCCCGAGGAACTTGCAATGAAGAATAATGCCTTACCAAATGGCACGAGCGCACTGATTTGGATTCGAACCCGGGACCTCCCGAGACCACTCTCCTACCACTGAGCCATCGCGCCTACTCACAAATCTTGTTTAATTAATCCTGTATTGGATGGATCCCAGAGCTCTTAAGTAAAAAGCGAGTTAAAATTTCTTTAGAAAACGTATCTTAGGTTAAAAATGATACATGTATTCTAATGTTGAGCACAGTGACCGTAAACTAGAAGAAGAAGTACAATTGATTGTGATATAATATAATTTGGGTGCAAGCAGAAATTTCATTGCAATAGATGGTGGATACATGATATGATAAGTATGAATTAATAAATCGAAGACTGGATCACTCTTACACTCTTCAGTGTAGAGTCATGTAATCATGTTATTTAGACGATTAAAACATAAACGAAGCTAGATTTATTCAACATTACATTTTTGTCATCCCGATCATAATTACGACCATTTCGACAACTGTCGATTCCTATCTATTAGTGATATGAGCTTTCAAACATTCAAATTTCACTCGGCGTCTCATGATAATAACGCATAAGATAAAACAGTTTTCTAATTATCGTGCATGGTGTATCATTACTTCTCTTGTGATACAAATTAAATGTGAAGACTACGTTACCTATTGGCGTTTTTTCTCTCTTTTTAACAGACAATAAACACATTTATATATATATTTTCGGCGGCTTTCCACTCCATATTTGAACAAGCCTTTATCAAAATATCGTGCCCTTCGCCGAGTTTCCACGTCGAACATTTTATACTCTTTATGGAGAAAAAAAATCATGCTTCTCCGGAGTTGCATCTAATCACTGTATTCACTCCAATCGACCAACGTCTGAACATGTCACGGTAATGAGCTGCAATTCGTCTATTCATAAACGAGTAGATTAGAGGGTCGAGTAGGCAGTTGGAGAAGCCTAGCCACACCGTGGCCACGCCCATCCAATGGGGGATGTTGATGGATAGGAGACAAGTGTTAACGATATAGTACGGTGACCAACAGACCACGGTGGTTAGCACCAGTAGGGTTCCTGGAAAGAAAGAGACAAACAGACACTGTTGGAAAAAAAGTGTTGGGTTGAAATTATATGAAACACATCAACAAGGAACAGAATCTAGATGGTAACATTATTTCAGTATTATAAAACACTTAATTTGATGGGAGATTCTGGAAAATATATTAACAGAAAATTAAAGAGAAGACAATGCAGAGGTGTGAATTTATGGGTGGGGTGTAGGCTGAGCTGATGATGACTATTTATTTTGTTCATCACGACATAAAATAACTTTGAGCGTAGGCTAAAGTTTTATGAAACGATGAGCCGTTCCCAAAACGACGAGGTGCAGGGGCAAATGATGCTCCGCATTTTGCTAGTAGAAAGACTTTGCACCCTCGTAACGCCAATATGTACATGTACATTTTTTGCGAGGGGAGCAATGAGAATTGATACATTCTGTCATGTTAAAACTTGGCATTTCATTTCGAACACTTGTGGTAAAACAAGCGCAAGATTAAACATTTCTACAAACTTTAAGAGATTTCAACACAGGAAGTACTTACCAGTCAGGGCAATTCTTTTTTCAAGGTTGAGTTTTTTCTGCATGGACCTACGATCTTTTTTCTTGATTCCTGTTATCACAATCCCCTGTTGAATAGTCTTATTTTCCTCGATTTCTCCTTTAGCATGTTCAGCGTCAGGTTCCTCGGTGTTTGAAGACTGGGAGTAGTCCATAGACTCTGGAGTAAGACTCGAGCAGGTAGGTCCTTCAATCGACTGGCCCATGTCATCCATTGGCATGTCATTGTCAGCATGGGTCACACGGTCTTGGTCGTCGTCGTCCTTGTCTGTAACGGAACATACGTTGCTCTCGATACTAGGTTTCTCGTCGGCGTAGGACCTAAGCAACCGTTGTTGACGCCACACTTTCACAAACACACCAACAGAGCATAAAACCATCGTAGGTACGATGACTACAAAGACGATGACGTTGAGAATAACGTAATAGAAACAGTCTTCCCGAAACTCTGGCGAGCAGTTGTGGGAAATAGTCTTATACTTGATCGAAGAGACGCCTCTGAATAAGGAGGGTAAGGAGGATCCAATGGCGGCGACCCAACAGAAGACGATAAAGACGATGGTTCTTGATTTGGAAGGAGGAAAGCGGGTCGACCAGACTACGGCCAAGTAGCGATCCACGGCGATTGCCACAACTGTAGCAAGGTTCCCGGAGACAAAAAGAACGTTACCTTGAATCTGCGCACAATGATAAATGAGATTGCATTAATTTTTCATATCCAGGAGAATATCAGCTCTTCTACAAAACATCGGGATTATTATTTATGTGATGAGTAATCACCAAGTATAATGTATGTGAGTATCACACATGGCAACTATCCCGGGTAATTTGACACGCAACTCTGTATTTAAAAAAACAACAACACATTTATCATAGAGATATGGGAATTTAGAAATCAAAGTATGCTGTAAATGATATAAAAACTATAAATCAACTTGCTGCCCAAATATTGATAATTTATAAGTGATTGCCGATTGGTAGCTGCATCATTCAACCCCCGAGTATGTATGCAGCAAGTATTACAGGATTGCTAAGTTAGGGTTCATATTCAATGGAGTTTTAAACGATCGAGTTTTACTATTTTGTTTTTGAGGAGGAGAGGAGTCATAATAGATTTGTGATTTGGTATGTGAAATACGAATTATGAGACTCAATAGATTTACCAAAACACTTACATGTTCTTTTCAGGAGAAGTATAAAGTTCCTTTAATATCCCAAATCGAAATATATTAAAATCGTATTTGAGAATGGTGGCGAAGAATTCAAAATAGAAAAAGACTTACAAGACACACAGCTTTGTTGTGAAGGAGAAAATAGCCTTGGTCGAACACGAATACTATTGTAAAGCCAAGGTCGTTTATGATGAGATTCAGGATCAGCCAGTTATGGAGGTTCCTTCTCAGAACCTTGTCTTGAAGAATCGTCGCCATCGCAATCAGATTGGCGACCAACGCTCCGTGGAAGATAACGACAATGGTGAAACCTTCAATGACGGCCACCACTGATGTCGACTCGTGGTAGATCGTGACACCATCAGGTCGATCGTACGGGGTTGGGGAGGTATCCTGGCTCGACATCGTATCACGAGAATTTGTTTTGAGAGACTGGTCTTTACAATGACGGATAGCAATGACCGCTTGTAATTCAAATTATAAGAGGTGAGGATCAGTGAATCTGGACAGCTTGAAAACAGTCCTAGATTTATAAAAAAAAAGTCCGTTATTTGAAATTGAAACCAATCAATTCAATCGCATTTCTAACTTTCTCCCTTGACGTATTATGATGTAGGCGGAGTCAAAGAATAAACGTTTCGTTTTCCTTTTTAGCTTTTTAATGATAAAGCATTTATTGTTTGATCGTTGTTAAAGGACTACCTCAAGGAAAATATATAGTTAGAATTTGTCATGACCACCTAGCCAAAGCTGTATTTTTTACTTTCTATTTACCCTTCCACGGGGTCCCTTTAATAAGTTTCAACATAATCATTTTCACAAAAAGATCGATACAATTCATGCACTATTCCATGACTTGTCATATAAATATTCAAACAATAAAACATTACAATGTAGTCTCGGCCGCACAGCGACATTTAGGATTATAAACTTGACAAAATAAAATGTGTACACCAATTCATTAATATAAAGTCATAAAAAAATCTGGTAAAATATAACTATTTTTTCACATAATTATTTTTTTCAAGATTTGTTTTTGCTATAATATCTTTCCTTATCATATTAAGTTTAACAGCACAAAGTCCAAACAGTGGTATCTGATTATTGGCTGAATAGATTTCTTTTCTTACAATAATTTAAATGCAATTACAAGCGTTGCTATGACCTCCTTTCAAGCCAAACAATTCGTTTTGTGAGTTTGGCCTTTATATTTGTCTTACTGAAAAACCATTGCTCAAGTTTTGACCATTTTATGTTTGCATATGGGCAGTAACAACACATATGCATAATTGTCTCTTCACTGCTGTTACAAAATGTACAATATTTATCATCACCCATTTGGAATTTCAGCAATGAATCATTCATGTAAAGTATTCTGTTTAAACTCTTACACTGGAACCACCTCATATTTATATCAACAGTTGACTGATCGAGAATCAGGGGTTTAAGTTGCAATTTTCCCGCCAACAAGTTGTAGATCGGGGGGAGGCCTCGCCTCCCCCCCCCCCCCCCCCTCCCCTGCCCCCGCCAAAAAAGAGAAGGAAGGGGAAAGGAAAGAGGAGAGCTAAAAGGGAACAAAAAAAGAGAAAGTAAAGAAAACTGGGATGAAAAGAAGGGGAGATCAGAAGCGATTAATCCAACCAACAACGTGTGGATCGGGGGGGGGGGTAAGAAAGGCCTTTGCCTCCTCCCCCCAGCAAACCTCAAGGAGAGAGAAGGAAGGGAAGGGAAAGGGAAAGAACAAAAAAGAGAAGAAGAAAGGTAGGGGAGATCCATTGCAATTTTTCCGCCAACAAGGTGTAGATCTGGGGAGAGGGGAATAAAATTCGATACCGGTGATATACAAATGTTGCTGAAATGACGTAATATTCCGAGATTTTTCCTCACTTTTCAGTAAATTATACTTTTTGATACGTTTGTTGGAAAATGACAAATTTCTAAATTTGCAGTTAGGCAAGAAATATGCTTATTTAAAGGCCTACATGTCAGGACCCGCGGAACGGCGGGGCTCAGGGGCCTCGAGCCCCCCCCCCCCCCCCCCCCCCCCCCCCCACACACTTTTTTGAAAAACTATATTAAAGGGAAATCGAGAAAAGAGAGAGGAAGAAAGAAAGAATAGTGACCTGTCAGTGTCACAAAATAATAAGGTAACAACATATGCTCATCTGACCGTAATTAAATGCCAATACCCCATGTGCGTGGGCTTGGCCCCTTGACCCCGCTGGGGCTTTGCCCCTAGACCCATACGCCAATTAATGCTACGCTCTACTTGATCGTAAATACTTTAGCCTCTACCACCCACTTTGAAAAACGTGTAAGAGTAGGGTGATGCGGATTTTTTTTTTTCTTCTGCCCCCCCCCCCCCCCAAAAAAACAGTTTTGCTCATTACGCCACTGCTGGTCACCGTTACGTACCAATATTTTGCTCGTATAATTTCAAATTTGGGCCCACCCCCCCCCCCCCTAAGAAATCCTGGATCCGCGCCCGGGTTCTCCCTCCTCCTTCCTCTTCATTTCTTTCCTTACGTTTGTTTCCCTTCCCTCTCTTCCCTCAAACAGATTTCCCTTTTGGTCCCATATTTCTTCGACAGGAGATGCACCCTCGACGAACACTATGAACAGAGTGAGGATTTGAACTTCGCGCGCTTGGCTTTATAACCGCTAAAACTCAAAAATTATATAAATTGTGTACGTACACCTTACGAGCAACTTACGAACGCCTTACGAACGCCAGGAGTTGTTCGTACGAAGACCATACGAATCTTCGCTCGTAAGGCGTTCTTACGAACGCCGTATGGGCCCTCTATGACCAACTTGAGGCATTCTTACGGTCATCGTAATAATTTGAAGCTTCTAGAATTGTCCCTCGACCCTACGAAACATACGAAGATCTTGCGTGGTTCTGACGATGTAATTACGGCGTTCGTACGGCCGCATTACGAAGCGAGGGTTTCTTACGATGTTAAAAAAAATCTTGGACAAGACCATCGACCAATCTGCGATCTTACGAACGGTCTACGAAAGGTCTACGAACGCTCGTTTTGTACGGCCTTCTTAAGAAGATCTTACGAAATGGCCTGAAAATCGTTCGTACGGCGTTCGTAGCAGCCCGTAAGGGTATTTGTGACCGAGGCTTATGAGCACCTAACGAACGCCTTATGCCTTGGTCACAAATACCCTTACGGGCTGTTATGAACGCCGTACGAACGATTTTCAGACCATTTCGTAAGATCTTCTTAAGAAGGCCGTACGAAACCAGCGTTCGTAGACCGTTCGTAGACCGTTCGTAAGATCACAAATTGGTCGATGGTCTGGTCCAAGATTTTTTTTAGCATCGTACGAAACCCTCTCTTCGTAAGGCGGCCGTAATGACGCCGTAATTACATCGTAAGAACCACGCAAGATCTTCGTACATTTCGTAGGGTCGAGGGACAATTCTAGAAGCTTCAAATTATTATGATGAACGTAAGAACGCCTCAAGTTGTTCATAGAGGGCTCTTATGGCGTTCGTAAGAACTCCTTACGAGCGGAGATTCTTATGGTCTTCGTACGAACGACTCCTGGCGTTCGTAAGGCGTTCGTAAGGTGCTCGTAAGGTGTACATGTACATGTACGTAAACAATTTATGCTAATTTTGATTTTTTAGCGGTTATAAAGCCAAGCGCGTGAAGTTCAAATCCTCACTATGTTCATAATCATAATTTAATGGAAATTATTGTGAGAGGATGGGAAAGCATTGAGAAGACATGAGCCCCTGAACGCTGGCGTACTGATTTTATTGTTATTTCTTATTCGATACCATGCAGTGATTTACAAATGTTACTGAAAAGATATGATTTCCGGTATTTTTTCTCAATTTTTTTTGTAAGTCATACATTTTAATGCGTTTGTTGGAAAACTAGAAATTCCCAAATTTACAGTCGGGCGAAAAATATGCTTATTTAAAACCTTCATGTCAGGGCCTGCAGAACAGCTGGGCTCGGGGGCTCGAGCCCCCTCACTTTTTGAAAAAGTATGTTACAGAGAAAAAGAAAGAAAGAGAGAAAAAATAAGTGACCTGCCAATGTCACAAATAAGGTATCAAAATATGCTGATCTGACCGTAATTAAATGCCTAATTAAAACCCAAGAGCTTACAGGGGGTCCGCCCTAGGACCCCACTAAGGGCCCTAAGGCGGTCCCCTGGATGCTCATCTGACCGTAGTTAAATATCTAAAAACCTCTGAGCTTCCGGGGGCTCAGCCCCTCGACCCCACGCGAATTTACGTGTAAGAGTGGTGGTGATGCAGATTTTTCTTCTGCTCCCCCCTTCCAAACGTTTTTGCTCATTACGCCATTGCCCCTGGAAGGTGAGCCCCTGAAATGTTTGCCCCCCCCCCCCCACCCCCAATCCTAAACTGCTTCCGGTGCGCCTGTTCATAGTGTCGTCGAGGGTGCCCCCCTGTCGAAGAAATATGGGACCAAAGGGGAAATCCGTTAGAGGAAAGAGAGGAAAGGGAAACAAACGTAATGAAAGAGATGAGGAGGAAGGAGAAAGAGGAGGAGAGCAGCAACAATAATATCAAGCCATCGAAAGCGACCGGGAGGAGGCGATGGAAGATGAACACGATGACGACGAGGAGGGAGAACCATCAAGACGGCAGTTTGATAGCGATGAAGATGAGGCAACGGGGTAACTAAGAAAGGAGAAGTATGACTTTGATGCCACCACAGAGCAAAAACTTGTTGACTTTCTCGGTGAACATGGCTGCTTTTTTAATAAAGGAAGTAACAGATATGCTAACAGTAAACAATTATTTTCGGGAAACAATTATTTTCGGGAACTGGCAGGTAAAACAAAGAACCTTTTTTGGAAAGAAATGTTCATGGCTTACAGTACGCTCTTGTGATAACATTTCTTGCCAACCCTTATGGAATAATGATTACATTAAAATAGGTAATAGCTCAATATATAATATAAAATTGTGTCAAAAAGGAGTTCGCTTTGTCAATGATATTTTAGAGACAAATGGTGATTTTTTTTTCTCTCTGAAACATTTCCAAGAAAAGTATAATATTCAAATAAATTTTCTTTTTTATCGTGGATTATGCGATGCAATTAGACAAGGGTTTAACAATTGTACTATTTTTTAACATGGTGCCACAACCTCTTTTCCCAGATACAATGACATTTGTTATGAAATGTATTAAAGGATGTTTACATATCTATGCAACTTTTTTAAAGAGAAGAAAAGGACTATGTAAACGTGTATTTCGACCTGATTGATAAGAGTTGGGAAACATATTGTTCTATTGGATTTAATTTTACCATTGATGTGGGCTTACGATGGTTTCAGTTTGAAGTTTTGCAACGCATATTATATACGAAGGATCTACTGTTTAAAATGAATTTAGTCCCAAGAAAAGAATGTACGTTTTGTAATGAACAGATTAAAACAGTTATACATCTGCTATGTGATTGTACTAAACCAATTGTATTAATGTTATAAATGTAAATTACCTTGAATATATATTTGTTAATTTGTTTCAAATGAAAATCAATAAAATCCCTGTGGAGGGAAAAATATGGAGAACAAAAAACAGTAAGTTCAAGAATCACTTGATAGAGTTGCAGTTGTAGTCTTCTTGGCAATACTGCCATCGTGAAAAAAACTTTCAACACTCAAATTTTCGACCGTATACAGCAGCGCTTTTTTTGCAACCCGACCAAATATTTATAAAAATCGTAAGATGTTCTTACGAATGACTTGTGAATGCCGTGAGTTACACGTACGACCACCTTGCGAGATCAAAACTCGTAAGATGGCCGTAAGTCTGACGTAAGAAGAACTCAAGGCGTTCTTACGAAAAACGTACGAACTCTAGGGCCATTGTATAACCGAAAATCACTTCGTTTCTCAAGAAGGCCTTAAGTTCTTCTTGCGAATTAAACGGCGTTAGTACGAACTCCGTAAGAAGGACGTAAGAAACTATGTACCGTCTACGAATCTCTACGAATTCTGAAATTCGTAAAAACAGGGAGATTCGTACGAACGAATCGTTCGTACGAACATTTGTGACCGTAGCATTATACGAACGCCAGGAGTCGTTCGTACGAAGGTCATACGAATCTCCGTTCGTAAGGCATTCTAACGAACGCTGTAAGAGCCCTCTATGAACAACTAAAGGCGTTCTTACGATCATCGTAATAATTCTAGGATTCTAGAATTGTCTCTCGACCCTACTAAATGTACGAAAACCTTGCGTAGTTTTTACGATGTTATTGCGACGTTCGTACGGCCGCCTTACGAAGGGAGGGTTTCTAAATCCCCTTCGAGTTCACACAAGAAACTTCTGAACTGTGTTGTTTACTAATATATTCCATAAAATCAAACATGAAGCAGCGGATGGAATTCGGTTCTTCCAAAACGCGCCTGCTGCTCAAGATTGCTAACGCGAATGCAACTAGCTCGGCAATATTCCCACAACATTGACTTTAGACGAAGTGGGATTTTGCACATATACATTTTTGTTAACTCTGTTTGCAGAAGATAATATATCGTGTTGTTAATATTTTTTTAGAACACTCTTCCTGTTATTTTTAATACTTCTGGTGAAAAGTATTTAAAAAAAAAAAAACACACTAAAATCTTCGATAAGTATTCACTTTTATTCAAACATTTCCCCCCAAATAATGTAAAATTGAAGTTCATAAATATAAGTTTGTGTTGTAAGGTTTCAATGATAATGCATAACTGAGTAAACCGGTTTTTGGAGTCAACTGAAAGGGCGCCATCTGTGCATCAGCTACTTGTAGCTTCGAGGTAGGAGATAATTATTTAGATCTCAAAAATGTAAATTCATGTCAGTTGCTATTCTACTGGTAATAGTGGGGCAAGCAGACCGTCTGTTGTGATTTTTTTTTACCCTTCCATCCTCCCCAATATACTTGCTCATATCATTTACCATTTTACCTAGGTTTATAAACCCACCTAGCATCCATCCATGAATGAACCTGCATTCAATCAGCAGATGTATTACATTACCAACGCTCCTTCTCTCCCCTTTCCTTTTCTTCTCTGCAAATCGCTCTCTTTTTTATTTTTATTGTTGTATCTAAGTTGAGGGGTTCGGGCACGTCAAGCTACTTTGCTTATTTATGTAGCCCTCCTGCATCTAATGTATGTTAATTATGCATTCAATATATTTGTTTAATTTCGTTTATCATCTGTGTAAAAATCATATACACTTAAAATATTGTATCAAACCATATCATGTTCATGAAAATGTATGATGAAAGAAAAAAAAAGATGCAGAAACCAATAAATCAAATCAAATCAAATCAAATCATCCGATTCCAGAGTATACAAGTTGATCACTAGTACTTTTGAGCAGGGGCGGTTCTAGAGAGGGTGGGGTTTTAAACCGACCCCTAAGTTTTCACCCCGTCAATTTTGTCGATTACAAATGACAAATGATCGAGGCACATGTAAAACAATCAATGTTAGAACCTGATACCACCGTCCCCGCTCCCAAGAAAAAGGATAAATTCTTTAAAAACCACTCCTGCTTTTGAGAAGCCAACTTAAGACAATGCTAAAGACTGTTGCTTACAGAAATCATTTTCGGAATACGTAATATGTCTCTGTCATGTTTGCAAATTCACCAGGTGACGTATAACGTACAAGCCTGTTGAAAATACCTTGAGCTTACTATTTTTTCTAAAGACTTAGCGACAGCAGATAAATATCAGTACCATATCCATGCATTCCATGGGGAGTAGGCCTATACTCCAATCATTTCGCCACTTCATTGATACGCCATTGCCAATGACTGATGTGTCATCTATTTAATTTGACGGAATCGTATAAATAGACTTTGCATGAAAGGAGACTTTGAATGAATTCACTGAGACTCCGATAAATCTTGAAACAGGCGATACGACAGGAGGGCTCTGCATTTGGTAACTCAAATAGTTACAACCCCCCCCCCCCCCACCCCCGCCCCTTCGCGGTCTTTAAGGATTCTGCCCCACCTTCAGAGTTTGAACAAGAGAACGTAAGCTCAAGTTGTGCTTATGGCGACACCCTTTCTTCAATGTATGAGTTTATGCGACCATATACTTATGTTAAAAATTAAATTATGTGTGACGATCAGGCGCGTACGCAGGGGGTGTTTGGGGGGTTAACCCCCCCCCCCCTTGGTATTTGTATGTGTATAAACCCCCCTAAAAAAATATAATAAAACCTTTGGTTTTGGGGGTTTTTTTTTTGTTTTTAATAATTAAAAAAAAAAACATTCCCATGGCTGACCTAAAAAAGGTGACCTTACCCCCCCCCCCCCACGGAGCAAAATGTCAAATTTTCAAATTTCGAGACAAAAAAAAAGAAAAAAGGTGTCCCCCCCCCCCCCCCGCTTATTCAGCGGCTGGCTGAGTCGATGCGAAATTTTCGGCCCGATTTAAAATGTTAACCCCCCCCCCCCCCCTTGAAAAAATCCTGCGTACGCGCCTGGTGACGATGTATATACATCGAAATAATGAACATCAAACTCAAACACGTCCCTGCTAGATACATTTATATGGGTCATGAAAGCAACTGAGAGCAAGAACATCTGATTATTGGGTTTTGTTTCATTTATTTATAAGTTCAAATTCATTTATCTATTCATTTATTTATTTATTTATTTCATTTATTCTTTTATTGGCTTGTGATTTGATTTTTCCAAGCATTTTCACGTTTCGACCCTGGCTTGAATAAAAATATAAACAAATCTTCCAATTAGAAACCAGGATTATAGATCGAGTGATAGAAAAACAACATTGACCTTTAATGTCTGTATATTTCGCCAATTCCAAATTATGCATAGTACCTTGCTTTGTATGGGGCCAACACACAGATTCCGGAATTGAACTAATCGTAACCTAATATTGCTAAACAAAATTTAAAAATGAAGAAAGCGAATTGATACTTTGTGAAAGAGACAACATTAAGTGCTCTGTCATAAAGAGATAGCTTTAATGGTATACTGTAGTTTCGATCTCCAAATCAATTCTTGTTACAACTCAGTTTTAGATTTTAACACTCGGAGTGTGTCTTTTGCTTTGTCATCTCTTTTATTCAATGAAACCAAAAGCTCTTGTAATAATAATAATCATTTCCTGTAAATTGATAGTTCATTTCAGAAAACAAAAAATTGAATAATGTCATTATCTCAATTCTGAACAGTATAGGTTATAATCATGACTTATAGGTCAACTGTCTATCCGTAAAGTTTGATGATAATGATTGTGATTGATGATTGCTTTACCCGAATACTGTGTATGCTTTTTAGTAAGCAACCAGGGGGCCGACGGCTTTAAGTCCTCCCCGAGGAACTTGCAATGAAGAATAATCCCTTACCAAATGGCACGAGCGCACTGATTTGGATTCGAACCCGGGACCTCCCGAGACAACTTTTCTACCACTGAGCCATCGCGCCTTCTCACATATCTTGTTTAATTAATCCTGTATTGGATGGATCCCAGAGCTCTTAAGTAAAAAACGAGTTAAAATTTCTTTAGAAAACGTATCTTAGGTTAAAAATGATACATGTATTCTAATGTTGAGCACAGTGACCGTAAACTAGAAGAAAGAAGTAAAATTGATTGTTATATAATATAATTTGGGTGCAAGCAGAAATTTCATTGCAATAGATGGTGGATACATAGTATAGTATGAATTAATAAATCGAAGACTGGATCACTCTTACACTCTTCAGTGTAGAGTCATGTAATCATGTTATTTAGACGATTAAAACATAAACGAAGCTAGATTTATTCAACATTACATTTTTGTCATCCCGATCATAATTACGACCATTTCGACAACTGTCGATTCCTATTTATTCGTGATATGAGCTTTCAAACATTCAAATTTCACTCGGCGTCTCATGATAATAACGCATAAGATAAAACAGTTTTCTAATTATCGTGCATGGTGTATCTTTACTTCTCTTGTGATACAAATTAAATGTGAAGACTACGTTACCTATTGGCGTTTTTTCTCTCTTTTTAACAGACAATAAACACATTTATATATATATTTTCGGCGGCTTTCCACTCCATATTTGAACAAGCCTTTATCAAAATATCGTGCCCTTCGCCGAGTTTCCACGGCGAACATTTTATACTCTTTATGGAGAAAAAAAATCATGCTTCTCCGGAGTTGCATCTAATCAATGTATTCAATCCAGTCGACCAACGTCTGAACATGTCCCGGTAACGGGCTGCAATTCGTTTATTCATGAACGTGTAGATTAGAGGATCGAATAGGGAGTTGGAGTAACCTAGCCACACCGTGGCCACGCCCATCCAATGGGGGATGTTGATGGATAGGAGACAAGAGTTAACGATGCAGTACGGTGACCAACAAACCACGGTGGTTAGCACCAGTAGGGTTCCTGTAAAGTAAAAGAAAAAACAGACACTGTTTGAAAAAAGTGTTGGATGGAAATCCTATGAAACACATCAACAAGGAACAGAATCCAGACGGTATTACATTATTTCTTTATTTAATATAAAAACACTCAATATGGTGTGAGATTCTGGAAAATATGTTAACAAAAAATGAAAGAGAAGACAATACAGAGGTGTGAATTTTGGGGAGGGGTGTAGGCTGAGCTAATGATGACAATAATTATGTTTGTTCATCATGACATAAAATAACTTTGGGACATACGCTAAAGTTTTATGAAGTTGCAGAAACGATGAGCCGTTCTAAAACGACGAGGTGGAGGGGAAAGCAGGCGCGGATCCAGGGGGGAGGGCCGAGCGGGCCTTGGCCCCCCCCCCCCCCCCCCCGCAAAAAAAAAAAAAAAAAAGAGAAGAAAGGAAAAGAAGGGAAAGGGAAAGAGGAGAGAAAGGGAAAGAAAGAAGAGGAAGAAGAAAAGAAAGGGGGAAGAAGGAGATCGGAAGGGGGGGGGCGAAAGGGCCTTGCCTTCTAGGCTGTTGACCCCCCCCCCTCCCCAATCAAAAAAATAAGAGAAAGGAAGGAAAGGAAAAGAAAAAAGGAAAAGAGGAGATACTGGCGTACTGATAGGGGGGGGGGGGGGGCTTGGGGGAAATCAAATTAAAACGTGGTTTATTTCTAATTCCACAACGGTGGATTACAAATAATGCTGAAATAACATAATTTCCGAGATTTTTCCTCACTTTTTAGTAAATTATACTTTTGTATGTGTTTGTTGGAAAATGACAAATTCCTAAATTTACAGCCAGGCAAGAAATATGATTCTTGAGATTCCTACATGTCAGGGCCCGAGGTACGGGGGGATCGGGGAGCCTTGAGCTCCCCCTCCCCCCCCCCCCCCCACACTTTTTTGAAAAAAAGTATATTAAAGAGAAATAACATAGAATGAGAGCAAGAAAGAAAGAATAGTTAACTGCCAGTGTTAAAAAATAATGATGCATCAAAATATGCTCATCTGACCGTGATTAATTGCCTAAAACCTCTGATTTTTTGGGGCTCCACCCCCTGGACCCCACGCCAAATAGTGACCTGCCAGTGTCACAAAATAATAAGGTAAAAAAATTAAATGCTCATCTGAGCTTCCGTGGCCGGCTCCGCCGCCTCGACCCCACCAGGGGCCCTAAGGCGGGCCCCTGAATGCTTATCTGACCGTAATTTATTGCCTTAAGCCCCTGAGCTTGCGGGGTCGGACAAGGTATCAAAATGTGTTTATCTGACCGCAGGCGCGTAGCCAGGGGGGGGGGGGGGGCGGTCTCCCCAAATCGGAAGAGGACATAGGAGGAAAAAGGAGCAGACAAAGAAAATCTTTGAAATTCAGACAAGGATTAAGAATCGAGAACGGTACAACGAATCGTCTTCTTGCTCTCAATATCCTCTAAAACGTCAAAGGGTTCCACGCTTCGCGCGTGATTGAGGGGGAACTAAATTCCGACGAGGATTATTTTCGAGAACGGTACAACGAATCGTCTTCTTTCTCTAATGCTTTAATGAAAATTAAAAGCTTCCGCGTTTCGCGCGGGAGGGGGGAACCTGAATTCAGACGAGGATTAAGAGTCGAGAACTGTACAGCCAATCGTCTTCTTTCTCTCATAATCTTATGAAACTTAAAAGCTTCCGCGCCTTGCGCGGGAGGGGGGACCTGAATTCAGACGAAGATTAAGAGTCGAGAACGGTACAACGAATCGACTTCTTTCAGTAATAGTTTAATGAATTGTCAAAGCTTCCGCGCTTCGCGCAGGAGGGGGAGGGGGGACCTGAATTTAGACGAGGATTAAATGAAACGTCAAATGAAACGTCAAAGCTTCCGCGCTACGCGCAAGAAGGGGGAGGGGACCTGAATTCAGACGAGGATTAAGAATCGAGAACTGTACAACGAATCGTCTTCTTTCTCTAATGATTTAATGAAACGTAAAAGCTTCCGCGCTACGCGCAAGAAGGGGGAGGGGACCTGAATTCAGACGAGGATTAAGAATCGAGAACAGTACAACGAATCGTCTTCTTTCTCTAATGATTTAATGAAACGTAAAAGCTTCCGCGCTACGCGCAAAAAGGGGGAGGGGACCTGAATTCAGACGAGGATTAAGAATCGAGAACTGTACAACGAATCGTCTTCTTTCTCTAATGATTTAATGAAACGTAAAAGCTTCCACGCTTCGCGCGGAGGGGGGAACCTGAATTCCGACGAGGATTAAGAGTCGAGAACTGTACAGCCAATCGTCTTCTTTCTCTCATAATCTTGTGAAACTTAAAAGCTTTCGCGCTTCGCGCGGGAGGGGGGGGGGGACCTGAACTCAGACGAGGATTAAGAGTCGAAAACTGTACAACAAATCGTCTTCTTTCTCTCATGATCTTGTGAAACTTAAAAGCTCTCGCGCTTCGCGCGGGAGGGGGTGGGGGGGGGGGGACCTGAACTCAGAAGAGGATTAAGGGTCGAAAACTGTACAACAAATCGTTTTCTTACTCCAATGATTTAATGAAACGTAAAAGCTTCCGCGCTTCGCGCGAAAGGGGGGGGGGAAGCTAAATTCAGACGAGGATTAAAAGTCGAGAACGGTACAACGAATCGTCTTGTTTCTCTAATGATTTAATGAAACGTAAAAGCTTCCACACTTTGCGCGGGAGGGGGGGGGGAGAATCTAAATTCAGACGAGGATTATTTTCGAAAACGGTACAACGAATCGTCTTCTTTCTCTAATGATTTAAGGAAACTTAAAAGCTTCCGCGCTTTGCGCGGGAGGGGGGGGGAACCTGAATTCAGATGAGGATTAAGAGTCGAGAACTCTACAACGAATCGTCTTCTTTCTCTAATAATTTAAGGAAACTTAAAAGCTTCCGCGAATTTTAGACAAGGATTAAGAGTCGAGAACTGTACAACGAATCGTCTTCTTTCTCTAATGATTTAATGAAACGTAAAAGCTTCCGCGCTGCGCGCGGGAGGGGGGGAGAATCTAAATTCAGACGAGGATAATTTTCGAAAACGGTACAACGAATCGTCTTCTTTCTCTAATGATTTAATGAAACGTAAAAGCTTCCACGCTGCGCGCGGGAGGGGGGGGAGAATCTAAATTCAGACGAGGTTTATTTTCGAAAACTCTACAACGAATCGTCTTCTTTCTCTAATAATTTACTAAATCGTAAAAAATTTCGCGCTTCGCGCGGGAGGGGAAAAACTAAATTCAGACGAGAATTATTTTCGAGAACGGTACAACGAATCGTCTTCTTTCTCTAATGATTTAATAAAACGTCAAAGCTTCCGCGTTTCGCGGAGGAGGGGGAGGGGGGGGGGAACTCGCCCCTCCCTGCACCGACCCCCCCCCCCGCATTACGTCACTGTTGGTCACCATTACGTACCAATATTTGGCTCGCATAATTTCTAATTTGGCCCCCCCCCCCCTAAGGAATCCTGGATCCGCGCCTGGGGGAAAGGTAGGTTCGGCATTTTGCTAGTAGAAAGACTTTGCATCCTCTTAACACCAATAGGTATATGTACAATTTTTCCAAAGGGAACAATGATAATTTATACATTCTGTCATGTTAAAAATGGCATTTTATTTCGAACACTTGTGGTAAAACAGTACAATTAAATTGCGATTAGCGCAAGATTAAAACATTTCTACAAACTTTTAGAAATTCCGACACAGGCAGTACTTACCAGTCAGGGCAACTCTTCTGTCAATGTTGAGTTTCTTCTGCATGGTCCTATGATCTTTTTTCTTGATTCCTGTTATCACATTTCCCTGTTGAATAGTCTTATTTTCCTCGATTTCTCCTTCAGCATGTTCAGTGTCAGGTTCCTCGGTGTTTGAAGACTGGGAGAAGTCCATAGGCTCTGGGGTAAGATCCGATGGGGTAGGCCCTTCAATCGGCTGGTCAATGACCTCCATTTGCATGTCATTGTCAGCATGGGACACACGGTCGTGGTCGTGGTCGTCATCGTCGTTGTCTTCAACGGAACATACGTTGCTCACGACACTAGGTTTCGCGTCGGGGTAGGACTTAAGCAACCGTTGTTGACGCCACACTTTCAGGAACACACCAACATAGCAGAAAACCATCGTAGGTACGATGACTAGAAAGATGATGACGTTAAAGGTGGTGCCAGAGATGCAGTTTTCCTGAAACTCTGGAGGGCAGCTGTGGGAAATTGTTTTATACCCGATCGAAGAGACGCCTCTCAAGGCTCTCAATAAGGAGGGTAAGAAGAATCCAATGGCGGCGACCCAACAGAAGACGATAAAGACGATGGTTCTTGATTTGGAAGGAGGGAAGCGGGTCGACCAGACTACGGCCAAGTAGCGGTCCACGGAGATTGCCGAGACTGTGACAAAGTTCCCGAAGGCAAAAAGAACGTTGCCTTGAATCTGCACATAATGATAAATGAGATTGAATTAATGTTTCATATCCAGTAGAATATCAGCTTTTCGACAAAACATCGGGATTATTATTCATGTGATGATTAATCACCAAGTATAATGTATGTGAGTATCACACATGTCAATTATCCCGGGTAATTTGACATGCAACTCTGTGTAAAATCAACTTTCTGCCCAAATATTAATGATTTATTAGTGATTGCCGATTGCTAGCTGCAGCATTCAATACCCAAGTATGTAGCTTATGCAGCAACTATTTTAGGATTGCTCAATTTCTCAAGGGTTCATATTTAATGGAGTTTTAAACGATCGAGTTTTACTATTTTGTTTCCAGGAGGAGAGGAGTCATAATAGATTTGTGATTTGGTATGTGAAACAGTGGCGGATCCAGCGTTGAGAAAAAAAACCATGTAAAAACACGTGATTTTTACCTTTTTGGGGGGTTGGGCCCCCTCCCCTAAGAAATCCTGGACCCGCGCCTGATGTGAAATTCCAATTATGAGACTCAATAGATTAACCAAAACAATTGACATAATTCTTTTCATGAGAAGGATGAAGTTTCTTCAATATCCCAAATCGAAATACAGTAAAATCGTATGTGAGAATGGTGGCGAAGAATGCAAAATAGTAAAAGACTCACAAAACACACAGCTTTGTTGTGAAGGAGAAAATAGCCTTGGTCGAACACAGATACTACCAGGAATGATATGTTCATGATTGTAAAGCCAAGATCATTTATGATGAGGTTCAGGATGAGCCAGTTATGTAGGTTCCTTCTCATAACCTTGTCTCGAAGAATCGTCACCATCGCGATCAGATTGGCGACCAACGCTCCGAGGAAGATAACCACAATGGTGATACCTTCGATGACAGCCACCACTGACGTCGAATTGTGGTAGATCGTGACACCATCGCGTCGATAGTATGGCGTTGGTGAGGCACTCTGGCTCGACATCGTATCACTCATTTTGAGAAAGTGGTCTTTACAATGAAGGATAACAGCGACCGATTATGATTCAAATGATAAAAGATGATGATCAGCGAATCTGGACAGCTTGAAAACAGTCCGAGATTTATGAGAAAAAAAAAGGAGTCCGTTACTGGACATTAATTGAAACCAATCAATTCAATCGCATTTCTAATTTTCTCCCTTGACGTACAGGATATAGGCCGAGCAAAGAATAAACGTTTCGTTTTCATTGTAGCCTTTTAATGATAAACAATTCATTGCTTGATCGGTGTTAAAGGGATGCCTTAATGAAAATATCTAGTTAGAAATTGTCATGACCACTTAGCCAAAGCTGTATTCATTTCCTTTCTATTTATCCTTCCACAGGGTCCCTTTAATAATTATCAACATAATCATTTTCACAAAAGATCGATACAATTAATGCACTAATCCATGACTTGTCATTTAAATATTCAAACAATAAAATATTACAATGTAGTCTCGGCCGCACAGCGACATTTAGGATTTTAAACTTGACAAAATGAAATGTGTACACCAATTCTTTAACATAAAAACATAAAAACATTTGGTAAAATGTAACCATTTTTCCACAAAATTATTTTTCTTTACGAGTTTTTTTTAAAATATATATCTTTCCATATCATATTAAAGTAGATATACATTGATTTAAAAACTAACTTTATTTTAATTATTGCAAAGTTGAAACTTTGATTCGACAAGGTTATCACAATTCAATGCTTGGAAACATTCGAAGTTATGATTATTATAAATTACAAAACGCTTAAATACAGCCCCGGCATAGCACCTGAAGAGCTCTCCGAACGCTGCTGAGATTTGTGAGATCACAGTATGGACATGACTTGCACAAGCAGACGATGTCCCATGACATCTCACACATTTGCAGTGCCTGTGTTTTCATCTATACCTGAGTTCTTTCTCTTACTTCACTACCACAGGCTAAATGTATAATCTATTACCTCACTCTAAACCCCGCGCATGGTTTTATTTTGATGACAAATGCAGCGATACAAAAATAAAGGAATCTGACGCTTGTAAACAAAATAAGACGCCATTGTATATTCAGCTGTCCACACCGGGGTATGTTCGGCGTTTCAAGAGGGAACAAATGCCGTCCTTAATAAAATTCCGGGTTTTTTTCAATTTGAAAGTCTGGTTTCTTTGATTGTTAATTAACCCCTATCCTGAGTATTTACAAGCAAACGATTTCAGTTATCAGAATCGGGTCATACCCCCTTTTGAATGGTTTGACATGCCATTACATTTATATACACTAAACTCATTATAATTTGAGAAATAATAGCTTTGCAATAATGTTCATTCTGGGATGTCGTCTGCTTGGGCAGTGTTGGTCCATATAGTGACGTCACTAAAATATCGTTATTTTTCCGGCGAATCTCTCGTATATCCCAGCTGCTATGGAGGTGGTTGTATTTGTATTTTTATAAATCACCCGATATGTAGTTGACCTAAACCTTGTATGATGGCCATCTGTTAGCTTACCAGTTTTTAGTGATACATTAGTTGACATAAGTTTAGCAGTTCAATTTCGACCAGTGGTATCTGATATTTGGCTGAATACATTTCTTTTCTTAAAACAATTAAGATATTAAAAACGTTGTTATGACCTCCTTTCAAGCCAAACAATATTTTTTGTTTTGTGAGTTTGGCCTTAATATTGGTCTTACTAAAAATCATTGTTCAAGTTTTGACCATTTTATGTTTGCATATCGGCAGTAACAACAAATGCAAAATTTTCTCTTCACTGCTGTATCAAAAATTACAATGTTTATCATCAACTATTTGGAATTTCAGCAATGAATCATTTATGTAAAGTATTTTGTTTAAACTCTTAAACTGGAACCATCTCATATTGATATCAACAGTTGGCTGATCGAGAATCAGTAATATCCGTTTTCAAAATGCCATTGATAAACAGTGGCGGATCCAGGAGGCCGAAACGGCCGCGGCCCCCTGTTGGCGGAGCAAAAAAGAGGGAATGAAAAAAAGAGGAAGAAAAGAAGAGAAAAAAAGAAAGGAGAAGAGAAAATAAGGAGAAGAAAAAAGAAAGGAGAGGAGAAAAGAAAAGAGAAAGAGGAAAGAAACAGAGAGAGAGAGAGAGAGATAAAAGGAGAAAATAAAAAGAAAGCCCCCCCCCCCCTCCCGCCCCCCATCCCACTCCGGAGTCGGAGGGACTGCTTTCGTGTTCCCAAAATCTCTGGTAAAGGGGTACTTTTTACGCAACAAACTCCGGCCCGTACTAACTTTACACACCGGAGATAGGGGGTGCTTTCAAAGAGAGGGAACATGCATATGCGTACCCTAAATAACACTGGGTGGTATTCTCTTAAGTTAAGCCGGGACTAAGTCCAGACTAAACAAAAATTTTAGTTCGCACTTCTATGGAATGCTAGGTTTCATCTTCCTCCTTCAATATTCATGACAAAGATAATCTACCAAGGACTTTGTTAAAATTTAGTTTATACTCATATTATCTTTTTCTTCCTATTTCAGTGCAAAATTAATTTTTTGGACACTTTTCATTGAAGGATTAAAATAATCTGTTCAGGGTAAATTAGTTCACAACAGGCACTCCATAAAAGTGTGAACTAACTAAGCACGCGCTAACTTAGTACGCGCTACCGGAATACCACCCACTGAGTTTAGGGGGGGCGGGGTTTTATCCAAACTCAGATATTTTATACCCACCAATCTACATTGATAAACTATATATTTTACAAAAACGTGCAATACGACTGATACATATTAAGAGTGAATTTCTTCCTAGTCTACCACTATTTGTTAAACTAAAAGTTCTCCCAGAGTTTGAACTATTAAAACTTAATATATCAGTATTCATGATTAAGTATCACAAAGGAATTCTCCCAGTACCTTTCGAATATGACAAGAATTAATCCTTCATTCTATACGTATCACACTCGTACACGTGATCATCTTTGTATTCCCATTACCCGTTTAACTAACCCGTTCTATCCATTCTTGACTACAGGATTACATGAATTAATGGAATTCAATTTGCAGCACAACATTTTCTCGTTTTAGAACTCTATTCAAACATTAAATTTTTAAACAATGTCATCCATGACTATAAAGTAGACCCTTTAATATCTTTCTCATTCTCACCTCTTTCCTTTCTTCTCTTTCTCATTCCCACACTGCAAAAACAAGGGTGTTAAATTCAACACCATGGGTATCTATATCGGAAAACACCAGCTGGTGTTATTTAACACCAGGGTTTGGAATTAAATAGTCAATTCCACTCTTGGTGTTGAAGTAATTTTGCCTTTGGTGTTAATTCTAACACCATTATTTCAACTTGGTGTTAAAGTTCAATTCTATTTTTGGTGTTAAAAAATCGAACACCATGTCTTTCAACACAAGTGGTGTGTATAATTTAATCCTGATCTTTTTGTTAAAATCAATACCAATGATTTAACACTCAATTCAAAGAATCCTGCGATGTCTGTTGGAGTTAGTGGTAACAATTTTCTACCTTTTCTGTCTGCAGAACAAATTTTCACACTTAACAGCATGATTGCGCTGATGAAATAGGATATTCAGACCTTGACTAAAAGTGCCATAACCACGATATCCCGAAGAGATTCTTGACAGCTAGCTCGCGCATGCGCATGCACGATACGACGTCATATCATCATGTCAACTGTCGTCCAATGATTTTGCTCGAATCCACTAACTTATGCGCATGCGCAAGTTCAACACCATAACACCGAGGCTCGGAACATCAACCTGTTATTAAATATTTCGACACTCTGTTGGTGTTGAACGAACGTGAAATTAACACCAAGGGTGTTGGGTTTTTTTCCGTGCTGGTGATATAAATTTAACACCCTGGTTTTTGCAGTGCACCTCTTTCATTTCTTTCATTTCTTGCAAATGATCAAGCTTTATGAAAGCTTCAAAAACCAAAAAACAGAATTGAAATCGGTCAATGCGTTGTGATTTTATACCATTTTTTTTATATCGCAAAATTCCCGAAAAACCTGACAGAAATGGTCAAATTTGCAAAAATGGCATAATTTGACAAAGTTGACAACTTAATTCATCACTTTCTCGGACACAAATAATAGATTAAATTATCAGACACTAAAATATCACCTTTGTGGTAAAAAATACAAAAAAGAAAAATCATATATCCATAACCGTTTTGAAAACAGAAGCCAAAAAAATAAGTCATTTTAGCCATTTTGCGAATCTGCAGATATAAAAAAGTTGTGAAAATAACTAAGTCCGCCTAATTAATATGCGCATATGTAATCAAATCAAACCCGATCATGATACATCAGTGAAACCTATGTATATTAGACAGGTATGGAAATTTAATTTTGAAATTTAAAAAAAAATCATGAATATTTATCAAAATATGCAAATTAGGTCATTTCAGCTAATTATATATTCGCGCACTCATTATGCAAATTAGGAAAGTCAAACTGTTCATTTTTGGGGCAGTTTTTAAATCATATATTCATTGATCTTATTTACACCGATAATATTTGATCGATAATATTTTTACAAATGTACCTTCTTATATTGAATCTGGTATAGTACTTTCCGACTTGAGTGATCACTTCCCAGTGTTTGCTTTCATTCCCAATTTTCATTCACAGTGTAATTCCAGTAAGCAGGTGTCGGGTTTTCGTAATTTGTCCCATGTGAACATCGAACGATTTCGACAAAGTCTTATCTCTACTGATTGGTCTGAATTATATAATTGTCAAAATGTAAACGATTGTTATAATAGGTTCCTTGAAATTTTCGATGATTTATACAACCTGTATATTCCGATATGTATTCCATTGCGTTCTAATTACAAAAAAGTGCCCAGACTGCCCTGGGTCACTAAATCTCTTTTGAAGTGCATTAACCGTAAAAACAAATTGTTCTATAAATATAAAGTAAAAGAAACTGAGGGCTCTAAATTGAAATAC